ATAAAGTTTATAGCTAGAAATGCTACATGCTGAAATGTGATTATATCACATTAGAATATGAAGGAAGGTATATTCCGTTCTGGAATTTAACTTTAAAAAGACCGAGTCTAAGCGTCGCATCGTGCGATGAGAGGTCAGTAGAGTACGACCCATCGGTCTGTTACAATAGATAAAGGAAAGTGTTTATCCTGAGAAGAAGAATGAGTCCACAATAAGGACTTATTTTGTAACTTGGAGGTTACGATTGAGAGTACAACATAGTACGAAAAGCAGACGCAAGATTGGGCATCGTCTGCGGTCAAGAAAGCCACGGAGATAAATACTCTTTCGAGGAAACATAGAAGTTACGGTTATTACCTAACATGAAGAAATAACATGTGGAATCATTAAGCAAGTCCTGTTTCATTGATGATTCCGGGACGTAATCATCCTAAGGGGGAGATAATTGTAACGCCCGTAGATTCGGGCTAGTCAATTTAGAGACGATAAGCATCAAAATTGACTTTTTGATGGAAGATTATTTAGAAGGATTAAGCTTAACCAAGTTGTAGTATATGTCACAAGGTTTCCGTCCATATAAAGAACGCCAAAATCCAAGTTATAACGAAGAAGTTATGATCTGTCGAAGTTTCGCGACAAACCGACACGACGCTGAATGACGTAAAAAGTGAATTTACGTTAGAGTGATATTTAGACTTAGCAATCTAAACGAAAGTCGTAGAGTTCGTTAAACCATGAGCGTGCATAAAAAGAACGTCCAAATCTGACTTCGTATGAGGAGGTTATGATTTTTCTAAGTTTCGACTTGGCGGTAAGCAGCCCGAATACTCGATTTGAGATCGAGCGGCTTTTAGCAGAAACAATCTAAATGAGAATCGAATATCTCGTTAATAGTAGTGAAACGATAAAAATATAGGCGAAAACGGATATTAGATGAAGAAGTTATGAATTTATAACGGAGTTTTCCTGTCCTGGCCTACTAAAAATAAATAATAAAAATAAATCAAAATTAGCCAACGGAGTCTAAACGAAAGTTGTAGATCGTAGTCTCGCCTACGTGGGGATACAAGTAACGTCGAAAACGGAGCTCGTATGAAGAAGATATGAATTTTTGAAGTTTCTTAAATAATTAAAGTATTTAATTTAAATAAAAATTCGGATATTATCCAAAGGGGGGTAGTCACCGGGCTTATCCACATTACGCCCAACGTAACATAGAATTATGCCCAGCGTAATTCGAGTTACAGCCCCCTATAAAAGGATGTCGAGGGCAGCGAATTCTTTTGCTCATTTCTTCTCTTTCTCTCGCGTTTTTGCATCGTTTTTTGTGCAAGAATTATCCCGAAGCCCCGGTATCATTCCCGAGCCCCGAAGCAAGTCTCGAGGCCCCGAAGATCCCGAGAAGTGAAATTCCCAAGCCGAAGCTCTACCCGCAAGGATTCCGGTTTTTGTGAAGATCTTCCAGATCTACCGAAGAATACTACTTCTACAAGTCGTAGTGCTGTCCGATCATCTTCTGATCAAGTGAGTGTGTGGTTACCTTCTTCTAATGCATAAATATTAAGTATTTTCTATGAAATATGTGCTATGTGTATAATATAAAGTTGTTTATATGTGTGGGTGTATAGTCCCTTTCATAAACACGGGTATAATACAAGTATTGTTTGAATGTATTAAGTATATGAAGTATTTGTTATAAAATACGTGTTATGTGTTTATATATTGTTGTTTATTTGAGATGAGTGTGGAATGGATGTTTTATACAGTTTTTAAATGAGTTAAACTGTATATATGTATTTTATATCTATAAATATGTTGGGTAAAACATAGGTAGATGAGATAGTTGGTATGTGATAAAATGATGAGGTATGAAAGATGCGCTTAAGAATAATATCGGTAGATGCATCAAGTAGTGAATGTCATAATCCTAGCAGATGCGCTTATACGATAATGTCGGTAGATGCGCCAAATAGAGAATGTCATAATACTAGTAGATGCGCTTATAGGATAATCCTTGCAGATGCGTATATAGGATAATGTTGGCAGATGGGCCTAAAAGAGAATGTCATAAACCTGGCAGACGCGCCTCATAGTGTATGACGTAATCCTGGCAGAGGCGCTTAAAGGATGATGTTGGTAGATGCGCCTTCTGTAGCAATAGATTTTGTGCTAATTCCTTAGGTCAATCCTTAGGAATGAATAAATGACGGGTAGTTGAATTCCTAGGGTAAAATCCTAAGAAATAAATAAGATAATGGGGATGGGTAATTGGGTTGATTGTTTGATGGTTGAATATAATAATTATATTATTGTGGGTTGAAAACCCTATATGCTCACCAGGCTCCCAAGCCTGACCCATTCAGTTTTCTTTGTATCACAGGTATCGATACGAAGATATATTTCACGGACAGATTAAAGGAGATGTAAAATCTTTAGTGTAAATAATGTAAGTTCTGTTTATGCTTATGTGTCTGTATCGGAACATGACATCCCGAGATTTTGTTATATAATGAAAATACATTTCTTTAAAGAAATGCTTTGATAATTTTTATCATATTTAGTTTTGGGAACAAATTCCGCAACTGTTTTCTTTAAAAGATTACTCTGATTTTAAAAACAAAGCATAAACAAATCAGTCTTTTCTGGCTGAGAAATTGGGGATGTCACACATAGGTATGCGGGGCATACGCGCACATCATGCAAACCCTAATTTTTAGGGTTTGGCTCATATTTAAACCCCTTTATAGCCTAATTTTTTTTCCTCACCTTATCAACTTTCACCCTCTCGTACGTGTTTGCAACCATAATGCCCTATTAAGGATTGTGTGTGTTTTGGTGCTTTTGAAGAAGAAGGAAGGAATAAAAGACCACCTTGAAGGAGTGAAGCTCTCTAGATCCATAATCATACTACCTTTTGGCACCATTTTGAGGTATCAAGTTCTGAACTTGGTGTTGTTTCTTGTAGATCTTGTTTTGGGTTAGTTTTAGGTTCTTTTTGTCTCAACTATGGTGTTTCATGAACAAAGAATGCTCTTGATGCATTAAGTTATCCTTTCAGACCATTGGTAGGGTCTTGAGTCATAAAAATGGGTTTCAAATGGTTGATTTTGCTCCATGCATCTTGTAGAATGTCTTAATGCATTAAGAAGTCGAGTTAAGAACTTAATGGGCATGCAAAGTCATAAAGTTGGAAACTTTATGACTCTTGTATTTTAGCCATGGATCTGAAATATGGACGTAAGTGCTTAAGCCATTAAGCACTTAATGAGTTTTGAATTTCCTAGGAGTAGGCCCCGTGTACTCAGAGTACGCCCTTCATACGAGGTCAACCATCCTAATGGTGATCAACATGCGAGGACTCGAGTACGCCCAGCGTACCTTCGGTGTATGCCCCATGTACTTGCATTGGGTCAATTCGGTCGAGTTAACTCAGTTGGGTTGACTCGCCTGGGTTGACTCAGTTGACTTATTTGGTTTGACCAATTTGACTTTGACTTTGACCAAGTTTGATCTAAAGGGTATTTTGGGATTTTGATTTTGATTGGTCATTTGGGTGGATAGGTGATAGTTTGAGTTGAGATTCGGTGTCAGGACCTCATCAACTACTATTCAGTCTGTAAGGTGAGTTTTCTTCACTGTACTTGCAGGTTGAAGGTGATAAGTCTATTTTAAAAATGTACTAAATTGTCATAAATCTGTTGAATTGATGTATAATTGTCAAAGAATGGCACTACTTTTTGATGAGTTGTTGAACTTCATATGAAGGTCAATATATTGTACTAAAAGTGGGGTAACCTGCAAGTAAAACGAATTGCTAAAAGAATAAAGAAATGTTGCTGGGGAAAATCGTCCATGCTTTAATGTTTTGATCATATCCCAAGTTATTGAGCTCCGATTGATGTGAGTAAAGAATTTCTGGAAACAAGACAAGATTTTCTACAACTTTCATGTTTTGTGTTTCTGCTAGTTATGTCATTTTGATCACCAAAACATGCACGAAAGGTGAAGGACGCCTACGGGCGTCTAAGACATCCCCTAGGACGTCCAACTCAAACAATCAGCATCTGGGCAAATTTTCGGAGCAGGAAAAAGGGAGGATCCCGTCAGCGTCTTACATGGCATCTAAGACGTCCATTAGGAATTCTTGGTGTTTTAGGGGCGTCCCCGTGTTGGAACGGCGTTTTCAAAAAGTTTAGGAACAAATACAAGTGATTGAATCAACATATATTAATCCAACTTATGATATTGAATTTTAATGCGGTAATAGGTTGTTGTAAGACATTTTATTGCTTGTTCACTAATTGTTCCTATTCCATTTAGACATAAGGAGTAAGACAACTAGTTGAATGAACATATCGTGTGCCCAAAACTATCTATTACAAGTTAATAAATCCCAATTGCATCTAAGTAATTGAATTAGGGTTCTAGGGAAGAAAGTGTGTGAATCTAAACTGTCCACAATTGACATGGAAGTACCTTGTTTTCACATTTATAGTATTTGTGTTTAACAACCTTTGCAACATAAAGTTTCTAGTTGTTTAGTTTATTTTAGTTTAATTTGCATTCGCGAAAATTGCAAGCATTAGTTTTTCCATTTGACTATTTTAACAAAAGGTTTAACAACGAACTCCTCGTGGATTAGACCTTGATCAAAATTTGGCGCTGTTTCCCCAGAGATTGTGCACTTGAACTATTGTGTTTAAGTAGTCATAGTCTTTTATTTTCATTTGTATTTTTTGTATGAATTTCATGTTTTTTTATTTGTGTTGTGCAAGCACACCAGTGCATGCATACAAGACATAGCGGACGCTCTTCACCGCTTGCATTTGATTCAGAAATCGAATGAACAGCTTGCTCAAATCGGGTTTTTAGAAGGAACATCAACAATATGAGTATAGATAATGTTGTCATGGAAGATGTGGTCGAGGGGCATAAGGATGCAGTAAAAAATCCTCCACAAATAGTTCCACCACTAGCTCCTCAATTCCCAAACAACAACAATGTCGATGCACCAATCATCCAACCAGTACAACCACAACCGAATACAAACAACCATGTCCAAAACGGTGGAAACGGAGGAAATTAGGCTCATAATATGGGAGGCAATGTGGGAAACCACAACGGTGGTAATGTTAAAAATCAAAATCAAAATCCTAGAAATGTTGGTCCTCAATTTGGTAATGGTGGTGATGGCGGTAACGAGGATGATTGGGATTTTGATGATGGAAGTGACAATGGAATTGGTTAGAATCAGAACCACAACGGTGGTAATAGGTGGAATCAAGGAAATTGGGGTGGAAACGGGAACTACAACAATAACTGGAACAACCAAAATTTCTATAATGGTGGCAATAATGACTACAATCATGTGTTCAGAAATCAAGGCTTTGGGAATCAATACTGAAGGAATCCAAATGGTAGATTCAACAATGCAAATGGAGGATACTACAACGAAGGTAACCAATTCCCTAATCTTTACTTTCCGTAACCTAACAGACAATCTATGGCATCTCATTTTTAGCTGGGAGAGTATGATGATGCTTCACCTATACTCTTCGAGGAAGGAAATGAGCATCATGCGGAACTAAGGTGACAACTAATTAGTTTCTTACCCGTCTTTCGAGACCATAAAATTGATGATCCATACAATCACCTCTATGAGTTCCTTGCAATTGCTAACGTGAATACTCCGTGAGTAATTAATAGAGATTCCTTTAGACTTCACTTATTTCCGTTCACTTTAAAAGAAAACGTTATGTATTGGTTCACTTCTCTTGCCCCCATAGTATTACTACTTGGGAACAATTAAAAACTAATTTTTTGCAAGAGTTTTACCCTGCGAGTAAAACAACGGAAATAAGGAAAGCAATACAAGGTTTTTCACAAAAACCCAATAAAGAATTTCATGATGCATTTGAACACCTCAAGGAACTGTTGCGTTCATGTCCCCATCATGAATTTCCCCGTTGGCAACTAGTACGTTTCTTTTATGATGGTGTCAACATTGCCAATCAAACCATGATTAATGCATCGTCTGGCGGCACTATCATGATGCAAGATAGTGAAGATGCTTGGCGATTCTTAGAGCAGTTGAATCATGATTCAAAAACCAATTACTCAGCTAAGAAACGGGACACTCCAACTTCATCTGCTGCATTAGTTGGACTTGACAAAAACTAGAAAAAGGAAGTCAAATATGATATTAACTCGTTAAGTAAAAAATTTGACTTACTACTCTCTAGTCTAGGCAAATAGAAAGGTGAGTTTTTTTTCGCAGGCACAAAAGATATGTGTAAGCTGTGGAGATTCAGGACACATTGCAGATGAGTGCATGAGAAGTCAAAAGGAAAATAATCAAGTGCACAGTTATGGCAATTCCAAAATAGTCCACGATCATTCAATCAGAACTACAACCAAGGTGGAAACTACAACAACAATGGGAATTTCAACAACAACAGCCATCAAGGGAATTACCAAAACCAAAATCAGTCAAAACAGTTCCAGCAGTCCAATTTTAACCAAGGTGGAACATCAAAGAAGGAGGAAATTGATGGCAACAAATTGGAGAAAACCATGGACTTCATAACCCAAACGTATCAGAAAGTTGATACAAATTCAAAGTCCACAGCTACTATTGAGAAGCAAATTCCTCAACTTGCGGAGAAAATTGGGAAAAGAAAAGATGGCAAGTTTCCAAGTACCACCACGGTCAACCCGTCCCACAACCAAAGACCGGGTAAAAAGCATCAAGTGAACGAGGTAATCACTTTGCATAGTGGGAAAAAGGTTGACAACAAGGTAAGTGCTCCTACCTTAGATAATGACAGTGACACTGAAGTTATCTTTGATAAAAAAAAAGAAGAGTTTGATAAAGGTTTCAAATTTAAAAAACAAAAAGCAACTAAGGGTAAAGATGACTCTAAAGTTGGGGAGCATGGTGTGGAGATTAATACCGGACCATACCCTTCGGCTTTAGAGAAACCGGCATCCTTCCCTTTTAGAAAGTGAGGGCTGAAAATTGAAGACATGTGGGATCTATTTAGTCAAGTTAAAATAAATATCCCGTTAGTAAAACTTATTAAGGAGGTGCCTTCATATGCTAAACTTGTTAAGGATTTGTGTGCTTAAAAACTCAAACTCCAAGCACACCTCCCTAAAAAGATTGATTTAACCGAGTATGCGAGTTCCATAATATCAAATAAACTTCCGCCCGAGCTTAAGGATCCCAGAGCACCTTTAATTTTTGTTACCTTAGGTAACATTAATATCAAAAAGGGGCTCCTTGATCTTGGAACTAGGGTTAATATAATCCCGGGAAATCTTTTTGATCAACATAACTTAGGCACTTTGGAACAAACTGATATTATTTTACAATTGGCCGATAAGTCAACAAAAATTCCCCGGGGTATATTATCTGATGTCATCATTAAGGTAGAAGATTTCTATTACCCAGTTAATTTTCTTGTGCTTGACACCGAGAGCACCTATAAAGAAAGTCAACATTCTATTATTTTGGGTCGCCCGTTTTTGGCAACAATAAATGTACAAATTAATTGTAGAACGGGTGTCATGGATATCTATTTTGGAAATAGGGAAACTTAGAATTAATGTGTTTAATACATTTCCTAACTCACCATTGGATTATGAGTGTTATCGTGTGGATATGGTTGATGACTTAGTGCATCAATTCACTCCCAAAAACTTACACCACGATCAGTTGGAGATTTTTCATTCTAATGACAAGGACGAAGTTTTAGACTTGGATGACATCAAGATGGTTAAAGAGGCATTTGAAAATGCTATTGAAAAAGAGAGGCCACCGTGGAGTCATCAAGTTGAAAAATTGCCAACAAGTTTTTCGAACCCACTAAAGCCATCTATGTAGGAGCCACCCACTCTTGAACTTAAAACTCTTCCTTCATATCTTAAATACTCTTTTTTAGGATCTAACGAGAGCTTACCAATTATCATATCTTCTGATTTGACAGGTCCATAGGAGGAAGCATTACTGAAGGTGCTTTCCAAGTACAAGGGAGCAATTGGATGGACCATAGCAGACTTGAACGGGATTAGTCCAACCACATGTATGTATCGAATCATCATTGAAGCCAGAGCAAAACCAGTCCAAGATGCACAACGAAGGCGCAATCTGAATATGTGAGAAGTTGTTAAAAAGGAAGTACTGAAATGGCTTGATGTGCGTATTATCTACCCAATATCTGATAGTGATTGGGTGAGCCCGACACAGACAATACCAAAGAAGTCGGACATTACAGTGATAGATACAGAAGATGGAGAGAAGATCTCAACCAGACCGGTCACTGGATGGAGAGTTTGCATCGATTAACATAAACTCAATGTTGCAACATCAAAGGATCACTTCCCACTCCCTTTTATTGATCAGATCATTGAAAAATTGCCCGGGAAAAGGTTTTATTGCTTATAATCAAATTGCCATCCACCCTAATGATCAATCCAAAATCACATTCACGTGTCCCCATGGCACCTTTGCTTTCCGAAGGATGTGATTCGGCTTGTGTAATGCCCCCACCACATTCCAAAGATGTATGATGGCTATTTGTTCAGATATGGTGGGGGGCTCATTAGAAATTTTCATGGATGATTTTTCTATTTTTGGATCATCTTTTGAGACATGCTTAACCCAATTAGAAAAAATTATGAAACGTTGTATTGAGTCTAATTTGGTTTTAAGTTGGGAGAAGAGTCATTTCATGGTAAAAGAGGGAATCATACTTGGTTATGTTGTCTCCGAGCGTGGTTTTGAAGTCAACCTGGCCAAAGTAAAATTTATTTCTACTCTTCCCCCACCCACTTCGGTAAAAGGCGTCCTTTCATTTCTTAGGCATGCAGTCATTTATCGAAGATTTATCAAGGATTTAGTGCAATCTCAATACCTCTTTGTAATTTACTTTTAAAATACACATCATTTTCCTTTGATAAAGCATGTCTTGAAGCTTTTGCAACATTAAAGAATAAATTTGTTGAAGCCCCTATCTTGCAATCACCCGATTGGACTTTACCTTCGAAATTATGTGTGATGCGAGTGATTACACAGTAGGGGCAATTTTGGGACAACGAGTGAATAGAAAACCCGTTGCAATTTGTTATGTGAGCAAAAAAAATTCGGATGCACAATTGAATTACACTACTACCGAAAAAGAGTTGTTTGCGGTCGTGTTTACACTAGAAAAATTTAGATCCTACATTTGGGGGTCTAAAGTTGTAATTTTCACTGACCATAGTGCCGTTCGCCACCTTTTGGAAAAGAATGATGCCAAACCACGTCTCATTAAATGTATCATACTTCTTCAAGAATTTGATCTTGAAATCCGAGACAAAAAGGGTTCCTAAATGTTGTGGCGGATCATTTATCTAGAATAATTAATAATGAAAACTCACCGGAAGTTATACAAGAAAACTTGCCGGATGAGCATATTCTTATTTTCAGAACTATACCATGGTTTGCTAATTTAGTGAGTTACTTTGTGACAGAGGAAACTCCATCATATTAGACTGCTCAACAAAGAAGGTTCTTCCACTCTCAAACAAAACACTATATATGGGAGGACCCAAATCTTTTCACAAATGGATCGGATCAAGTGATTAGGCGATGTGTACCACAAACGGAAAAAGGAAGACATTCTTCGAGATTGCCACTCATATGCATGTGGAGGGCATTTTAGTGCCAAAAAGACAGGGCATCGGGTTCTACAAAGTAGTTTTTTATGGCCCTCTATTTTTAAAGATGCACATACATTCTTGTATTCGTTGCCAATAAGTTGGGGTGATCTCACGACGGGACATGATGTCAATGACCCCACTTTTAGTAGTTGAAAATTTTGATGTATGGGGCATTGATTTCATGGGTCCATTCCCTACTTGTTTTTGGCAATCTATACATTCTTGTAGCCATTGATTATGTATCAAAATTGGTCGAAGCCGAGGCTACACGCACGAATAACCATAGTGTTGTTTGTAAATTTGTCAAAAAGTACATCTTTTCTAGACACAAAATCCCTTGAATGATTATTAGTGATGAAGTTCCCATTTTAAAAATTGGCATTTTGCAAAGTTACTAAAACATTATGGTGTCACACATAGGATTGCTACTCCATATCACCACAAACAAGTGGACAAGTAGAGGTGCCAAATAGAGAAATTAAACGCATCTTGGAAAAGATTGTTCATCCCGACCGAAAAGATTGGTCCCTAAGATTAGATGATGCATTACGGGCATATCGAACAACTTATAAGACGCCACTGGAATGTCCCAGTACCAGCTTCTTTATGGAAAGCCATGTCATCTCTCGGTGGAGTTGGAACATCGTGCCATGTGGGCCATTAAAAATGCTAACGTTGAATTGAGTGATGCAGGTATGGAAAAAAAACTTCAACTTGTTGAATTGGAATAGATTCGAAGGGAAGCTTAGGAAAGCTCAAGGATCCATAAAGAAAAGACGAAGGCATTTAATGACCGACGTATTGTACGAAAACAATTCATTGAAGGAAAATTGGTGTGGCTATTTAACTCTCGTCTCAAACTCTTCCATGGAAAGCTTCGAAGTAAATGTAGTGGACCTTCGGTGGTGACACATGTGACAGATAATGGATCCATTGAAATCAAGGACACGAAAGGCGGTGAACCATTCAAGGTAAACAGACAAATACTCAAACCTTATATTCAAATGGTAGATGGCGAAACGACACTTGTTGAGAAAACAACGCTCGAGGTTCCACAATATTCAAAAACAACTTAGTCAAGGTAAACCGTCCGACTGAAGACGTAAAACTTAGCGCTTTTCGGGAGGCAAACCGCGGTTTGGTGTGTTTTTACTTTTATTTTTCGTTTTGTATGTTTTAATTCTTTTTGTATTGAGGACGATCCAAGGTTTAAAGTTGGGGAGGGGGTATTAAATTTTTGCTTAAAATTTTTAAAAAAATCTTGAAAAATACCCGAAAACGTTCCCGAACAGTCAAAATTGTGAAAAATAGCAAAAAAAAAAAATAGTCTCTTCAGGTGTCTTAGGGGACGTCTAAAACGTCGTCGAGTTGCCATTTCTTTTCCTCCAGTGAAATCCCACGCGAAATTACGAAAATGCCCCTGTTTATGTGGGACGTCCTAGGACGCATCTAAGACACCTCGTAAGATGCCGATGTGTTTTTGGCCGTTTTTGATGCGTTTTAGAGTTGGTTTGCTGCACCTTCTTCACTTATGCTTCTTATTCCACTGCCATGGCCGAAAGCACTTTCTCAAATCGATTTTTCTTGATTTCTTCCTCAAATCTCAACCAAAACTCTTGATTTTTGTTGCATTCTTCAAGAAGCCAAGTAAGAAATATCACATTGCAAGATTTACACACTCTAATCACTTATTTAGGGCCGATTTTAAAACCCACAAAAATTAGGGTTTCGAAAATTTGACTTATTTTGGGTTTTTGCTTCGAGTTTTTGCTTCTTCTTCATTAGCAACACAATCTCAAAAAGGTATGTGCTTCAAAACTCCATTTCTTTGGGGTAATTTTGAATTTTTGTTGGTATGTTCATATATACTAGACAATTTCAAATTTTTTGAGAATATTGGCATAGAATTGTCTGAAATATTATGGATAAATGTTTGTTGTTGCTAGATAGATGTTCCAAACAAGTTGCATGTGTCATCTGTGAATTTTTCTGAAAATTGAATTTTTACTGTTATTTGTTAAAAAAAAAATGAAGAACACACATATAATGATGGAAAATCATTTTTATGTTTACATTTGTGCTTAGATTAAAATTCAAGTTTTTAGAAATTTTCAGAATGACACTGAATTTTGACATTGCATTGTTAGTTTGAATATTTACCTGTTACAGTTATGTTCTAGTTTTAGTTAGAACTTGTCAGTTGCAATTAACCTTTGGTTTAGCTGTGTTTTTACTGATTGGGTAAATTTTTAAAAAATATGTAGTTACTAAAAACATAACAGGACTTAAAACAGTTATTTATCTAGACTGAATTTATTTTAACTTTGTTTGGAACAACTTGCCAACTGAATTATTGTTTTCTTTTTGTGACATTTTATATGTTTTAATGGCAAGTTTTGTTTTGTGGTTTTGTGTGTGATTGATTTTGCAGATTCCAGCAAATAGATCAAGGGTAGCATCATCAAGTAGTGCAGCTAGGCAAACCGCGAGACAACCAGTCAGACAGTCGGAACCAAATGTACCTATGGCTTTTAACCCACAATATCACACACTTCATGAGCATCTTGATGACATCCGTCTGGCAGGTTATGAGCATACTCATCCGATTACAGGGTTTATAGTGATGTAGATGGTGGAATGAAAAAGCTTCGCCAGGTACAATATTGTGGAAACATTCGATCGCTATGGACGGGGTGGAGCGCTAGACTTCGATCCCACACATGTTTATGTAAATATAGTGTTGGAGTGGATGAGGACACTTCGACGTATCGAGGTGCCCTGTCAGGCCGGAGGAGTTGTAGCTAATTGGTACAGTTCATACTCATGATATAGTGATGATTGTGCAGGGTATTCAGGATATGTTTCATGTAGATACTTGATATTATTTACATGATCTTGAGAACCAGCCGACCGAGTATAGATGTATTAACACGAGAGGAGGTAACCCTGGGATTATCATGGTAGGAGTGTACCGCACAGTATTCCATGAGGGGACGAGAGTATATGACAGGTTCCGTGAATTGGTGCCTTTAGCAAAGGCATTACATAACATTATCACGGAAAATGTGAACCCGAGGAATATCGATCCCAGGGCGGTGAGGACACAAGACTTATAATTGTTACACGAATTGATGACAGGATCCATATTTATCTGTGACAACCCGAAACTTTTATCCTGTACAATCGATCCTCATATCAATATTTAAACTCGATTTTGTTGCCTTCTAACGACATTTAAGGGTCTGTTTAAGTGTTCTAAGCTTGAGTACAGTTGGGAATGAGATTAGGAATGAGTCAACATGTCATTTAGAAGAATAATCGGGCCATACACCCTTATGAGAGGTGTGTACGGCCACACACACGGGTGTGCAGCTGCACACCCATCCTCCAACCGTACACCCACCTCCATATAAAGGAGGAGACCCCTTCACTCATTTCTTTCCTTTGGCTGCACTCTACTTTCTCTCTCTAAAAACTTCATATAAGAACACTCTAAAGGCCTCAAAAATGTGAACTACTTCATCAATCAACTTGTTATATTGGTAAGACACCTGAATCTAAGCCTAAAACTCATAGTGTTCTTTGTGTTCTTCATCCTTTGAAGGTGTAAGGTCGCACACCTTCATAAGGTGGCCGCACACACACCTTAAAACTCTCCAAAGTGAAGAGTTTGGCCTTCATTCACTAGTAGGACTTGGTATTAGCACAAGAACACCTCAAAATCGACATTTTGGGCATAAATGAGGAGTGTACGGCCGCACACTCCTGTGTACAGTCGCACACACCCTCTGTATGGACGCACACTCATGTGTGCAACCACACACACAGCTTAGCCGCACACCCACTCAGAGCTAATATACTCCTCTGGGTGTAACCAGAGCTTCGAAAACACGGCTAATATACTCCTCTTTGTGTAACCAGAGCTTCGAAATTACGGCTAATATACTCCTCTAGGTGTAACCAGAGCTTCGAAAACACGACTAATATACTCCTCTGGGTGTAGCCAGAGCTTCGAAATTACAGCTAATATACTCCCCTGGGTGTAACCAGAGCTTCGAAAACATGACTAGTATACTCCTATGGGTGTAACCAGAGCTTCGAAATACGGCTAAAATACTCCTCTAGGTGTAACCAGAGCTTTGAAAAGAAAACCGTTGTCCGACTATGGTAGATACTCATGTATGGATAATCAATCATCAACTTTAAAAGGGAAAATATAGGATTTTCCCGGGATAACCTGGCTATTCAAATATCATATTTTTCAACATGTAACGAATGGATAATCAAACCTCTTTCATAAGAAAATATAGGATTTTCTTGGGAAACAATTTTTCAAAGAATCAAGGAAACATTTCTTTCAAAAGAATTATACACTTATGAACTCACCAGCTTTATGCTGATATTTTTAAAACTGCTTGTGTTCTCAGGGCATCAATAGACAGACAGGTACTTCCAGCAGTTCGGAGAAGACGGAGCATTAGTGTCACCTTTTTACTTTTGATATGAACAAAACTATGTATTAAACAATGTAAAATTTTTTTATGTATGTATTCAATGTTTGGTTGAGTTAACTTTGCTTGCTATGATACAATTGTGTTATACTACGCATGATGTCACCCCGCCCCAGAATGTTTTCGCCATCGGTTTCGGGGTGTGACATTATCTCTTATGCATATAATGTTATGTGCAACATATGGTCCTATTTTGATCTACAGAACAGAGTCACCACCCCCATGTCGCAATGATATCAACATATGTGACTAGGGAGCTGGGGAATATGATCAGGGTCCTATGAGCAACATCATACTAACGTATTCTTCGCCCTATTGCCACTTCCTTCAAACACATATCATTTCATGTTGAAAATGGGAGACATACTCTGAGGGATTCTGCCATAAATCTGACATACACGACACCACTCGGAGTGGGGGACGAGGAGCCATTCGTTGGTGATTTTCAGGGTGATCAGCATCAACAACAGGGGCATGCAGCAGATCAGGGATGGAACATGCGGACAACATGGGAGGACTTTGTAGGGAGGCAAAACACGCATAACCAAGAGTTTTAGGCTTGGATGGGGAGAAAAAATATATGGATGGAGGGTGTCGATACGACACTATCTGATCTTACTGAGCAGATGCGACAGGTTGGCATCACAGTTGACAACACTTATAATGTTACTACTTGTCAGCCGTACTAGCAGGAGTACTATATAGATGCTGCTTATAAGCGTAGTCATGTACAACATGACCCGATGGACATTGATCTACCACAATGATCTTGAGCACCAACACCGATTTGTGTGATTTCATAAACACCTACATATTGCAAGTTAGCTAGTGTTCCACTGGACTATCTAGAATAGTCCGTTCTCGCCATCAATACTCTTCATAATGACTGATCTCTGTTAGGCATGGTCTCTTTGCCTTATCTTTGGTATGGTCTCACCATTAATCTATCTTTAGTATGGTTTCTCACCATTATCTCTTTTCTCTTACTATTATCTCTACTCTTGTGGTCCTTAACTGTTATCTCATTTCTCTTATCTCATTCTACTTGTCCTACCCAATACATTATGAGTATAGTAAAATACATATATGATATTTTAGAAAAAATCATTATCCCATATAAAATAGATATCAGAAACTCAGATAATAAACACATAAAACATTTAGGAAAATTAAATACTTGATATCTATGTGTAATTTGAAGATAACTATGTACTCACTTGGTAAAATGGATGAATGGAAAGCTGGACAGTGCTTCGCTTTAACACTTGGCTTTTCCTTTGATATGACCTAGGTTCAATTATATCTAAGTCTTAGTTTATTACCTCTTATGAGTAGTTAATAGTCTAGATTCCTAAACAATCCCAATATCTATTGATCTATAGCTGATAAGGGACAACTAGGTAGGATCATATCGGAGATAGGGTTCGTTTGGTATACATAGTATACTGTTTGGAAATTCAACTTTAAACATCTCACTAAATCCAGCCTAGACATCATCCCCATAAGTAGATCAATCAATATAACGACATGGAATTACTGATAAATCTTATTTATAGGTCTATAATAACAACTTATGACTATAAATATAAGGTACACTGAAAAAGATAGAGTGTAGCTTGTATGCACTCCAACTGTTTTTAATATTTTAAAAAAGTTAACTTGTATGCACTCCAACTGTTTGATGAAATACATAAACTAAATTACCACATTATATTCATATATGAATATATTTTCTCACCTGAATCAATATATGATTATTAAAACACAAAACAAATATGCAATTCTGTATGTTATTCATATGTGAATATCATATACAAATTATATATATATTTATGAAAACACCTTGTAATATTTATATCTGAATATACCATCTAATATTCACAAGTGAATATACTATGTAATATGTGATATACCATGTAATACTATGTAATGTTCACATATGAAAATATAATCTAATATTCATAAGTGAATATACCATCTAATACTCAATAGTGAATATACTATGTAATATTCACAAATAAATGCATAGTCTAATATTTAAATATGAATATACTATGTTTATTATATGTTATATTTGATGGGTTTTGAGCACTACATCATTCCTATGGTGTACATGCAAAGCCTAATAGCTTTGGATCTAGTTTATCTAATGAACATGCAATTGATAATCCAAAGCCATAAACCCTAGATCTAATAAACTATAACTGAAATTAGGGTTTAGAAAATACCTTTGATTGTTATGTAGCAATAACAATCAATTCCTTTGCTTCAGAAAGCTTAGTGCCTCAAGTGTTGGACCTCTAATGGAGCCACAAACACCAAGAACAACAAAGATGAATAAGAGAAGAGAGGAGGCAACCAAAAACGTCTAGAAACCCTAAAGGAATCAATCCCCATGTTTTTGGGGCCATAAAGGTCATTTATATATGTAGGCTATTAGGGTTTTAAACTTAGGAAACCCTAATCTGACTACTTAGGCCCTAAGCAGCCCATAGACTCCTTTTATCATATCCATTGGACGAATTCCTTATGGGCTTCGCATAGAATTCGTCCAACCTATATTATTAGGTGATCCATAACCCAATTGCAAATAACCCAATTACAATTATCTTATAATTACAATTCCAGTCCCCTTAAGTTTAATTAATCTCTTTTAGCAATAAAATTAATTCTTAATTAATTCTTGACTAATATTAATTAAACAATATGATTTCTCCTTTAATATATTATTCTTACAATATATTAATAAATCATAATTGATCTTCTCTCTCTCTCTCTCTCTCTCTCTCTAATTCATTTTACAAGTTGTTATGGTGAAGGCAACCCAAAATGACCATGCTCATAATTGGGTCAAGTACATACCAAATTAGTTATGGACTTAGACACTAATCCAACAATATTCATATATGAATGATACTTAAATTGTAAAAAAAAAAAATTAATCATATTTTTTATTCATAAGTGAATAACGAATGTACTATAGTAAAATTTTGATGCATTTTTATTCACTTATGAATAATGATAGCTGAAACTATAAAAAAAAATAAAAAAATTATATTATTTTAAAATTATATCAGTATTTATGTCTATTTTTAAAGAATAAAAAATTATGAATTTT